TGGTGCAAGAGTAATTGTTTTCCCCTCCATGACAAATGAATAGCGATTTTTGAAGCCATCATGTGTTACCCTCCTATCATATTGCCATGGTCTCCTTAAAAGTAAACGTCTGGCATGCATAGGAACCACGTCACAAAGTACCTCATCCTTATATTGTCCAATAGAGAATGAAACCAGAACTTGCTTATTTACCTTGATTTCTCCACAATTGTTTAACCATTGCAGCTTATATGGCCTTGGATGCTTCGTCATAGGTAAATTAAGCTTTTCAACCAAAACAGTGCTAGCTACATTAGTACAACTACCACCATCAATAATCACACCACATACCTTGTTTTTGACATGGTACCTCGTGTGAAATATATTGTCACATTGTGCTTCATCATCTTCTTTGGCTTGCACATTCAAAGCTCACCTGGTGACGAGTAGTTCTCCATCAATGCCATATTCCACACCATCATTAGCATCTTCTAATGGTGGCATAGATTCATCATTAGATTCACCCTCAGTTTAAATTTCTCCATCTTCTCTCAAGATCGTCGTGTGCTTATTAGGACATTGCGATGCAACATGCCCCCTTCCCAAGCACTTGATGTCTCGGTTTCTGCCATACGTATTATCTGTTTTACTCTTGTCATTGCTGCCAACTTCTTTTGACTTAAATGCTACCGTTTTAGGCTTAAAAGTAGAATTTTCTTTTTGCTCCAATTCAGTTTGCAAGAAGATGAGGAACCTGAATTTTGCCCAGTTCTGGTGGTGGCTCCTTCATGCTTGAGTTGCTGTTCTACTTTCATCGCCATATGCACCATATCTTCTAATTCCACATAATGCTGCAGCTCCACCACATTAGCTATATCATGATTTAAGCCATGCAGAAACCATGCCATAGTTGCTTCTCTGTCCTCTTCGACATTCGCTCTAACCATTGCGATTTCCATCTCTTTGTGATAATCCTCAACGCTTTTGGACCCTTGAGTAAGGCCCTACAATCGTTGATAGAGATTACGGTAGTAGTGACTAGGAACAAATCATTTTCTCATCACAGGTTTCATCTCTTCCCAAGTGTCAACAGGACACTCTTGATTTCTACGTCGACTAAGCATAAGTTGATCCCATCACACCACAGCATAATGAGTAAATTCCACCGCTGCTAGTTTCACCTTTATCACCTCAGAATAGTTATGGCAATCAAACACCAATTCCACCTCCTTTTCCCACTCCAAATACACATTTGGATCATTTTTTGCCTTGAAACGGAGGAATCTTCATCTTGATGCTACCGAAGTCACGATCTTGCTGATCTCCCCACCTTGCCAGATTTTGCTCTCCTTGGTTAAACCTACCTTTTTTATCTCCTCTACCTCTCATAAATCTGTCCATGCTGAAATTTGAGTTTTGGGCATCATTGTTGAATGCATCTTCATAATCGTCATTGAGATCATCATTAGCGTCATTCCTATGCCAATTTGGACTTCCATTCTGTATTTGGTATAAATTGGCTATAGCTGCATCTTGCTTCTTCATTTTGTCTCTAACCTCACCAAACATGATGTCCAGCCTTTGAAATTGTTGTTGCATTGCTTTGACCATGAGAGGTTCATCCACATGGTGTCTTCTAATGGTTGATTTGTCATCACCACTTGATATGATTGAAACCTGCAACAAATGTTAGAAACAGAAGAATAAAAGGACCTCACAACACTCCCTTACCTGTTTCACTCCACTCTCTCACAGAATGGCATTCAACGCTCGTGTTTTGCACACTGTAGAACTTGGCTTTTCTCTCAATTGTTGCTCACACCTCTTGCCTTTTTCCCTCACTTAACTTTCCTCTTTCAATTCATTATTGAACTAAACAAGCTCAATTCAAGTTATTTTGCAACAATCTAACTCCAACAAATCTCTGCAAGAATTAAAGGAAACAAAGACACAAAGGAACAACAAGAAAAGTAATAAAAGAACCAAACCCAAACAAATTAAAACGAACAGATCAGTTCAAGCACTTCCTATTAGGAATTGACTTGACTATTCATTAATGTAGTAGGATTCTTAACTTAAGAAGGAATAAACAAAATTGCTATGTCCTTGTTTGAATAGAATTCGAAGAGAATTTCCAACTCCTTATTGGAGTAGGATTCCTTCTTCTTTAAGGATTTGGCGCAGATTTCTTCTCTATATAAGGAATTCCAACCACAGAATTGTTTTGCTTGTTTCTCTCTCTCCTTTTTTTTTTCTGCGTCTCTTTTTTTTTGGCTATCTTCTTCCCTTTTTTTTTGTATGACTTCTTCCTTTTTCTTTTTCTTTTTTTCTTATTTTCGTGCTTTTATCTCTCTCTTTTTGGTTGAACTAGCAACACAGATTCCAAAGAGCAAAATAAGAAAAAGAAGAATGACACTGAAATTTTTTTTTTGTTTTGTTTTTGAAGATAAAAACTGAAAATTAAAGATACGCAAACCTAATTTCGGATCTAATGCTCTAATACAGATGAGAACCCCAAAGAGAACAATGAGACCCATAGCACGACAAGGGATACTCCAGGAAAGCCAAATCAGGTTTTTAATAGGACTTTGACCCATTGTTTATGTCGCAACAAGAACCAAAGTTAAAAACCTTGACCCGTTGTCTATGACGCAACGAGAACCAAAGGTATAAAGTTGGTTGACGCCTCGAACAATTAAGAACGAGAATGATAAGTCAAGTTAGAATGCCACAGGATTCATCTTGATAAGTTCTATAAAGTTCTGAAACGAACCAAAGAGAAAAGTCTCTCAAAAACTCAGATTCAATCGCTGCCCCCAATTAGGGTTACAAGCCCTTTAAATAGGGAAAAGTAATTCTAATCAGAATAGGAAACTAACACTGGCGCCCTAATCCTAATAACCACGAATTGGGCCTCAAATAAATGAATGTTCAGTCCAAAATAATATAAAAAACGTGAAAATCACTTAAAGTAACCTAAAGTAACATGAAATATCAGTTTGTTACAAATTTTAACAGAATTGCGGGATTTTGACGCAAACTGTGTAATTTAGCATAAATGACCTTAATTAAGCTTATCTTGAACCTGAATGATGTTTACCACGCCTTGATAATCATCCAAGCTCAACCCAGATCTGCTCAATAAGGGCATTTAAAGCTTCCCACATCTTCCTAGCTCTACCTCTCGCGACTAGACCTCTTGATGGGAATCAAGATGACCCCAATGATGGGAATCAAGATGACCCCACAGGTACCATGTCAAGAGATCCATTACATATTTCAGGAGGTCCAGTCACAAGAGCTAGAGCTAAGAAGATGCGAGAAGCTGTAAATGGCCTTATTTAGCAGATCT